GTATTCGCTGTCAACCGCTTTTAATTTTAATAGAGGCATTTTATATGTAAGATAAGGAAAAATGGTAAGTTACATTTGACTAATGCACGGAATTTTATTTGACAAAGAATACCATTGCGTAGGGGAGATAACGCTTACGTTAACCTGACGGATGAAAGGAAAATGTTTCATCAAAACATAATCAATTTAAAATTCTAAAGAAATGTCAGGTTATTTACTAAAATAGAGCTGTGGTTTCTTAAACTTAATAATGTATTTGAAACCTTTCAATTGGTTAATGCACGGAAATGTATTTGACGCAAAGCACGAGATATGCAAATGAGTCTACACCAAGGTTTCCCATTTCTAAATTTTCTTTATAGGAAAGTGTGTTAGAGGGAGCACGGTGCGCTAAAACAAGTGGCAGAACAAATCATTTTAAACCCCACTATGTCCAAATGTTACGTCATATTCAAATCAGTAATTACAATATATTTAAATTAGATTTTACCTCTTTTTTTCACAACGTCAGGAATATAAGTGCCAGTAAACAAATCATGCATTAAGGATTTGAATGCCTCGGGCCTGCTGGTTGGATATTAAGGTGGCAGAAGTTTCAAAAGTTTAATTTGCGGGTTGAGCAATATATATAGATGTGAAATGCACAAAGAAAAAAAATCAAGTGTGCTTTTGTCTGGGGGAGTTTATTAAGTGTGTAATTTGTTGTAAGTTCATAGTGTGTAATTTGTCTATTGAAAATCATTTGGTTCTGCGGTCCCTATACTTGTAAAGTTATGGCGTAACGGTAAAATTGGGAGTTTGAAATAACCTCGTCTCAGTAGTTTCATGAGATCTATATATAGCGGCGACATTATTCATGACTGACAGGAAATGGACGCTACACTTCCTTTTTAAGACATACATATAGTTTAATGCCCATTCATATACACATTCATACCACGAGCATTCAAGCTCTCAAAATCGTACATTCTGTTACATTAACAACTATGAAATAATTCTGTTTACATAATAAAATGCAGTCACATGATTTTGTTTTGACGTATAAAAACTCGATTTTTAAATATATGATGGAGTGGTGTAGTGGGCTAAACCGGTAGGTATCACTTACAAACGAGTATCGAGTTTTCGTCTTCGATGGTTCGAGTCCTGCAAGCATCACTTTTTTCCTCAAACAATATATTTTTGTACAGCTCATTTTGATATTGTACAAAGCGAGTATTCGCTGTCAACCGCTTTTAATTTTAATAGAGGCATTTTATATGTAAGATAAGGAAAAATGGTAAGTTACATTTGACTAATGCACGGAATTTTATTTGACAAAGAATACCATTACGCTTACGTTCACCTGACGGATTAATTAATTTAAAATTCTAAAGAAATGTCAGGTTATTTACTAAAGTAGAGCTGTGATTTCTTAAACTTAATAATGTATTTGAATCCTTTCAATTGGTTAATGCATGCACTTTTATTTGACGCAAAGCACGAGATATGCAAATGAATCTACACCAGTGATACTTGTGAGTGGGGGCTAAAATACATTTTATTTATATTGTACATGTACCATATTAGTGTATTTTGATATTCTGCTACATGTCAATTGCAGTTGTCCTATGTAAGAAAATATAGTAGATTCAGTTTCATAATGTTAAGTCACTATTTTCCATGTTTGAGTTAAGGCATATCGTTTTCCCCATGTGTGCGTTAAGATTTTATTTTCAATGTTTTCGGAAAACTGTTATTTTTCATATTAGTATTGAATTGTATGTTTAAACCACTACAAAGGATTGCTGACGATCGAAATAAGTATCGACTAACCACAGGTACATGTACTAGCCTCGTCTGTCAATACACCCATACTATAATAAAGGTTGCTAACTCTGTCCCCTCGTTAAATGATCCCGTTCCAGAGAACATGCATTTTTGTCATAACCGTTTATAATATGACTCCGGAAAACAGTCTAGATCGAAAGAAAAATATTGTTTCGTTAATTTGCTGTATACGACTTTTTCAGTAGACTTCAAAACATCTAAAAAGGTCGAATTTTAGTTGATCGGACACTGTGCTGTCCCCATGATTGACAACATTAATCCCTGGCGGGTAGCGCAATACATACGGTAAGTACGGTATTTAATGTCAGGACAGTGATTCTACGAAAGGAAACAAACTGACTTGATGATAGTTTTCTGTTCCGGGCTTTTTCAACAAATCAGAATGTGGCAAATGTTGAAGCCCGCGAGTTTTAAACAGCATATATTTTCATTGTTAAACTTGATTTGTCAAAAATGTCGATAAGTTTAATTTTAAAACCTGTTTTAAGAAAGAAACACTTTAAACCATATCAAATCAGTTTGCAAAGTTCGTTTCGCTTTTTATATACCAAGCGTATGATACAAAAAGCACTCGCTGCGCTCGCTATGACATTTTGCTTTTGCTTTATTATAACGCTGTAATATGTTATTATAATCTGGTTATCCGTTATTATAATTTGGTTATCCGTTATAATAATCTGGTTATCCGTTATTTTTATCTGGTTATCCGTTATTATAATCTGGTTATCCTTTATTATAATGTGGCTACTTAATGATAGTTGGTTGACCTGTAATTACATTTTGACGACAAGACAGACAAGACGTGCTATATACATGTATCGAAATTAATGGATAAAGAAGTAACATATTTTCATCGTGTGATATTGTGCGACCAGTACTAACATAAAAAATATAAGCTCAAATACGCTACAAATAAAATCAACAAACAATGGTGAAAGATTTTAATTTTGTTTTGAACGTAAACAGAATTTGGAAACGTTTTTAGCTAGCAAACAAAAAAGTATGTTCCCTTTGTCAAGCAAAGAGCGAAGACAACGGAGATGTTTAAAGAAGACATTTGAACTCACAGACCGGGTGTACTTTGTCTGAACTGGCCTACCCTTGATCAAGATGCGCCTGAGGCCTGTACGATTGTAACACAAACTTGTGATGATGTCGTCGATATAACAAAGAATGTGAATGTTGAGGACATTTTCATGCATGGACAATAATTGAGATGACTAGATATACATTCTGAGATAAACATACCCGCTGGGGGTATTTTGGCATGGTGAGTAGCAAAAAATATTCCCCTATAATGTTTGTTTATAACCTACGATGTGAATGACACAACATTGTAACTGATTGCATGATCATTTAAACAATTACATTAGTTTGGATTGAAAAGAATATGAACTTAATATCTATTTAGAAAAAAAATACACATTTGCTATACATTTCCAATAGTAATCTCAATTTGAAATCATGTTGCATGCATTTTCTTTTCATATCGTAGCACTTAAACCGTATATCAATCAAATTGCCTACTTTTCTATAAGCTTTTGATGTTAATAAGGTCATTTTTGTAGCAAAGCAAGCTCAATGTTTTCTTCATAGATACTTCTGTGATCTTAGTACTGAACGTTCTCAATTCAATGCACACTAAACTGTTTCTGCCTGCGGGACACACATGACCGTGTATATATAGTAATCAATGCGATGTTTGTTACTTCGAGGTGGATAAACCCCATAGCAGGCACCTACTACATAGTGTATGAACCTGGAGCTTTTGACAAAGGTAAGATTTCTAGTGGATGATTTAATTACATTATTAACACATTCAGATTTTTATCCTTAATTTAATTTGGTACATAACACATAAAACAAGATAACGTATGTATTTATAAGAATAGGAATCGAGTATTGTCGACAATCCTGCTGAGTTGTAGATGTTTATATCTATATCTATATATTCTTCAAAGTTTTCGTTGATTGTAAAATTGATCAAAATTACACATAATCGTGATAAATTTGGTTCGATAGCATTAAATCTTATTACCAAGCCATCTTGTAAAAATTAACTATTGAATTTTATTTCCTTGTTTAAATAAGTAACACATGCTATGATAAGGTATGCAAAACTGAAAAAAAAACCATTTTCGTTAATTAACATTATCATATTATTTATGTGTATACGTGGTCGCCATACTATAATTAAGATACCAAAAACGGACTTTAGATAACAGATTTGTTAAGTGGTGAAGTGAATTGCAACCGAGACAGTCGGGGTTCGACTACTCGTTAGACCATGAAAGGTAATCGTTTAGCGGTCCGACCACATTGGGTTTCTCCTGTAACGCAAGTTTCCACCCAATTGAATACAGCCTACGCTCTTGCATACGAACAACTAAATTAACTAATTATAAATTGATGAAAAGTATAAAACAACGGTTGAGATATATACATGTAGTTTATAATAGTGGAGTCGTTTAAATGTACCTCATACCAAACAAACAATTTTTGTTTATTAGAGTATTATTCTCTAATGCTTAACGAGATTTGTAAAAAAAAACACACCACTTTCATTCTACACAACCAAAACAATTTGCTCTACAAACTTAACATGTTATACACAGGGAACAATATATAGCACAATATATCGCATTTTCGTTTCATAAAGATAAATTTGGTCGGTTCAATTTCACATCCACCAAAAAACACCAACACATACTGTCAAACAAGGACATTTTTGTTTAAATCGATAACATTTACACTTATTTTCTTTCTGTCATAGTATCTACTTTACAAACAGGTAGCGTACTCTTCAATGCTTGATGAATAATTTCTGTTTTCAGATGAAATATTCAATACATTTGCTTGTCTTGGTGAGCTCGTTTACTGTGGTTTCCAGCAATATCATGGGTATGTTAAGTATTTTATCCTTATGGAATGTTGTCCCACTGCAAGCAGAACACTACACAATTCGAACATAGATTTTCGGACGTGTTGTTAGATCTCTCCTTAATTTTTGTTTAAGCGATTTTAAGGGGTGTAAATATTTAATTATTTCTTTAATATATCTACATGTTAATAGGCATGTTTTGAAAACAGGCATGATTATACCGATATAAACCAAAATCTTACAATTACAACTGTAAAAGTGTGAGACAATGTATTTGTCTTTATTACAGGGATGTACGAGTTCAAGCGAGTATGTTATTTCACCAACTGGGCCCAGTATAGAGAAAACCCAATGACGTATACAGCTGAAAACATCGATCCCTTTCTCTGCACACACATCATGTTTGCTTTCTCACAGCTGGACGGCAACAGTTTGGTAACAGTAGAGTGGAATGATGTATGTAAGTGTAATTTTATGTTTATATGAGTATTTGTATATTAATTTAATAATGCGTTTAACACATGCATTGCATGCTACAATATGTACCATGTCTGTGTGCTTTCCTTGCTTGTCTATATGACTCATTACTCATTTAAAATGTACAAAACTGGTCTTTATAGTTGGATATTCAAACCCAAGTACATCTTATGAAGCATATTCTATTTTATCTTTTCAAATGCCTTTACAAAACGCAATTAATGCCTGATTTAATAATCGGCCAGATTTGAAAAGAAGTCTTGGATTCCTTACAGTGAAATGTATCTCGATGTAAAGTGGTTTTTGAAAGTAGGCCAGTCTAAAAATAGGAATAGGATTCCAGGTAGGAGCCTCATTTCCCCCTTGTCGGCCTTTAGATGTTTTACTGATACAATGTACCTATCACATTAAATCATTTATTATTGCGACAGTTTTATATATGTAAAAAATAAATAAAAAAATTGTAAGCTCTGTCTACGAATCTTTAACAAGTCAACCTCAACAAACGTAGACAACTATTTTAGGTAAGGTCTGTGTCATTGCACCTAATAGATGTAAATTGGTTATCAATGTGATTATTACAACAGATGTATTCTGGTTCATGATTTATATTTTGTATACACAAATATGTTAAATATTGTTAAGTCAATTATCAATGTATAGTGTTGTCTGTTTACAGCCCAATATGGAAGAATTATAGACATGAAAACGTTAAACCCCCGCCTGAAAATCATGTTAGCTGTAGGAGGATACAACCACGGAGTGGAAAGATTCTCGACAATGGCTTCGTCAGATAGGAATATCGAAGAATTTGCAACAAGTGCTATCACTTTCCTGAGAAAGTATAAATTTGACGGTCTTGATCTTGATTGGGAATTCCCTGCCTATGGTAATAGTAGTAAAGATGACAAATTTCGATTCTCAAGACTTACGCAGGTATGATATGCATGTAGTTTGTGTTGCATAAATTTTTATCACAGTTGTGAATAAGCAAGTACCTCGTAAGTGAGGTTTTCAAAATTGAAACCGATCGGGTCGTCCTGTCATATTCGTTTTGAAATAAGTTGATTCTTTAAAGGTTTTTCTTATGCATTCCGTACCATTGCAAACATTTTATGTTTTCCAAATATGACTAAGTATTGATGAACCGTTTCTGAAAAACAAAACCATACCTTGCGGTACTATGAAAAAGTAAAAAAAGGGGATATTAACGGAATATAATCAACAATTGTCAAGTTGCCTAGTCAATCTGTACAAAAGTTATATGCAGAAGTAAGGGTGGCTACATATAACTGTATATCTGAAACATTCAAATACATTGGGACAGGGATGACAGATCCTTGAAACACCGTTCTCTTATCTTGCGTTTCCATGACTTGAAATGTTTTCTATTCGTGTCAATTTTGATGATGTGTTGAAGGCAAACTATACGTTCTTGTGTTCTGATAAACAAACATAACCAATCATACATAATATTGTATATTTGTGACATGTAGTATAAATCAACACTTTGCCTTTTTTAAAAATAGCGATTTTCTGATCTTTTAGCATAATAGGACAGTAACTAGTAAAATGTAACATTTGTCAAATTAACAGAAAACAAATATACTTCTTGCAGATTTTACGACAAAGATTCGATGATGAAGGTGTGCTAACCGAACGTACGGCTTTATTGTTATCAGCAGCCGTATCGGCAGGAAAAGCTAACATTGATGCCGCTTACGAGGTGGACATTATATCACGGTGAGTACACTTTAAAAACTTTGGTGCAAGTACTTACTGAAACAGAAACCTTGATACCAGGAACAATCACTTACTAGATTTAACATTTTGGCATAAACGGTAAACGCTTTAATTTTGTATTGATTGTATTTTAGTTTCACTTTTTACTACAGACACTTTAGTATAGACAGGCGATTAAAACATGAAATGTGGTTTGAACTCCAGACTGAGAGTTCCATAATTTAAACCAAATTTCATGGGCCTGCCGCTTTAAGAGCATACTTCAACAAATAATATGTTAGCACTAAAACATATATATCGCGCTACAATTAAGTAGATAAACCTTAGTTAAAGACTTTGTTAACTTTTCTATAATTTGTCAATCTTCAACAAACTGACAAATCAGAAAGACGCTTTCAACAATCGGCCATTTGACCCCGCCCATACAGGCGCGTGAACGATGTTTGTTTGTTGACGAGGTAGAGATTTTGAATATTACTTGCAGTATACATGCCAATCTGAGCGTATCGCTAATATAACAGAATTATAGCAAAATACACAAGTAAGCATCTCGTTAACAATGTTGTTTAAAATCCAAATCCAATTTATTATAGAGAGCTTGACTTCATCAATCTGATGTCATACGATTTTCACGGTTCGTGGGAGGACACAACCGGTCATAACAGTCCATTGTACGCCAGAAGCGACGAACAGGGAAACCAGCGTTTTTTGAATCAGGTTTGTCATATATTTTATAGTATACAAAATATGCTGCATAAACATGCAATCGCTTAAACGTATCGTTATTCTGTTGGTTAAGCGTGTGACTTTGTTTCGCATAAAAAAAAAATCAGACAACTTCTGGTACATGCTCTACATGACTCCATTAAATATTTCATGAGGCAAAGATACAAAAGGTATTTATATAAAGTGTTTTATGTAAATGTAGCATCTACAGATTCCTCTCAATCTACGAAAATTTCCATATTCATGTGAAATAATAATTAATCATTAAGTATAAAGTTTAAAATAGAGCATCAATTCCTTTTAACAAAAAACAATTAATGTTAAGGTGGCTATGTTTCAATTTTTCGCAATGTAGAAATTTGATTAATCCATGATTTTTTTTTGCGTGTGGATGTTTTCGCGCTATTTACGTAATACGAAAAACGCGAATATTTTCATACCGCCAAAATTTCAAATATTGTAGTATGTACGACGAAACAAAAGTGCACTTAAACTACTGCAGTGTAATGTTGATATTACCGACAATGCAGGAGGCAGTCGTCCACTATTGGCTGTCACTTGGAGCCCCACCTCACAAGCTGGTGATGGGAATGGCCTTGTTTGGTCGAACATTTACGCTAGCTAACACTAAAGACGTTGGTCTAGGTGCCCCTACGACTGGAGCAGGAAAGTCTGGTGTATACACAGCAGAAGCAGGCTTCCTGGCATATTATGAGGTTTTTTGTAAATCATTTGCATATCTTTTGGTTGATTGTTTTGTTACAACTTCTGCTATTGAATTCATTACTCTGACAAATGATGACATTATCTTAAACTTCCCTTCTTCGAAGCGTTATTCAATAAGTCAAAATTAATCGATCCCTCCAATTGGCGGTGTTTTGTTGTATTATGATCTAAATACACATTTATGCCAACATGTCAAGAAATTCAGTGAATTGTAGTCGAATTCCATTTATACTATTAATCCAAATATGTTACCTGTTAAAAGAAACAATAATATATAATAGAAACAAGCAATCAAAGAAAGAGTGATAATCGTTTTTAATATACAGAGCATTGGCTATCACTTGTCCTGATTCAATTTTTGTAGCTACTTTAAATTCGTATTCAGCAAATGTATGTAGGAAGTAGGTAAAATATGCACGGATATCGTAACTGTTTTTACTAGGTATGCGAAAACATGAATCAAGGATGGACCAGAGTTTGGGACGAGGAACATCAGGTACCATACGCCTTCTTTGGAAACCAATGGGTCGGGTATGACGATGTCCAAAGTTTTGTTATAAAGGTACATACATACTTTTAAAGCTAGATGTATATTGAAAACATAAGTTAAATATTGTGTCAGCTAAGTATTAAACAAATATACCATCGGTAACTCGGATTACAATGCATACAATACAAGATTTAAAAAACACAATACAAACATATGTATATGTATACATGTTCTAATTATTACCAATTATTCGTCAGGCTGAGTACATCCGGGCAATGGGACTTGCAGGATCCATGGTGTGGGCTATGGACCTTGATGACTTCAATAATGTGTGCGGGCAGGGTGTGAACCCCCTCATGACCACACTAAAGAACATTCTCGAATACCAAACACTTGGGCCGATAACGGATCGCCCACTTCCTGTTACTACAATCACCACTACCTCTCAGAAACCTGTCACTTTGGTAACATCTGACCCCCCTACAGGTATAGAACATACATATATTAATATAACGGACGATAACAGTTTCTTAGGTATGATTAGAATTGTTGCAATCTGCAGTAACATTTTTAGTTTAAATCCTTTTTTGTCGGAAAATATGAGGTAGTATAAAAAAAAGAAGGATAAAGTATATTGTTGAACAGTAATACAAAGGACAAAATACGAACTCATTGTCGCTAGCAACAACAGAATCTAAGGTGAATCCAAAACAAAACGGAAAACATGAACCCACACGGGAGACGATGCTGGGAGCACTAGTCTGGTGATCTTTCCCAGCACCACATATAACAGCCTTAATGATGTCTCCCGAAAGTGGCTGGATCACAGACAATCAAAAGCTTGTCCGTCTTTAACTAGGGTAGACACTAATAAAATCATACAGGTAAAACTAAGGCCATGACCATTAAATTGCTCAATTTTAGATTGAATACACAGAGGCAGAGAACCATAATTAATAAGGCTTTTTGACAATATTACACATCTGTCTAGAAATCATAGCTCTTAGAATAGGTCCTTGAATATAACGTTTACGTTATTCTGATCAAATTCAAATTGTGTTTATTAGTTGACAATATTCGATCCTTTTTTTTACAGAGATGTCAACGTTCAAAAGAGTGTGTTATTTCACCAACTGGGCCCAGTATAGAGGAAGTCCGATGAGGTTTACTGCTGATGATATCGATCCCTTCCTATGCACCCACATCCTGTTCGCTTTCTCACAGCTGCATGGTAACGGTATGGCTACAGTAGAATGGAATGACATAGGTAAGTTTTCATTCATTTTTCATTGTACCTAATATATCAATTATGAGGGTCTATGTTTAATGTTATGCTCTTGTGCTAAGATACAAGATGACGTAAAATGAGTATACGTTTTCTGCATCTTCGAAGACATTCGGCATGTAAATCTAGGTCAAAACCAAGCAAGTAATATTGTCACTATTTCATCCAAAGAACCCAGGTGTAGTGATAATGAAACCACAAGAAGACAGACTCATGAGCATAATCAAAATAGTTGATACGAATATCGCACAAGGACACAGAATAGCATATCAACACGATCATCATGGCGTCCATAAACTTCAAAGTTATCATTTTCATTTACCTAATGTGTTGAAAGTAAGTTCGTCAGCATTATACATCTTTCAGATAAAGTATGATTTTCACAGAAACTCGTGATAAATTAGATAACCGTGACTTATATATATATCGTAGGTAGGTGTAACTGTTCAGAGACCGAAATTAAATGACCGAAAATCGTAACGACACGCTTATCGTACAGTAAGCAATATGGCGGTCATGTTAGTCATGATTTAGTACAGATCTAGGTTAACAGATGATACAGAGAAGTCTGCTATGTGCTTGATTTTGAATTAAAGAGGATAAAAAGATTCAATGGAATATAGTTAATTTGACCTTTTGAAAATTGTTAAGATATGCTAGTCATTTACTGCTATTATTGTGTATTTTGCATTTGGCGTTCACAGCTACTTATAACAAAGTGATGAATTGGAAAATGACAAATCCCAACCTGAAGGTTATGTTAGCAGTTGGAGGATATAATCACGGTGTCAAAAGATTTTCCGCCATGGTTTCATCTAATCAGACAATAGAGGAGTTTGCTGCCAGCGCTATTCTCTTTCTACGACGTTACCAGTTTGACGGACTTGACCTTGATTGGGAGTATCCTGCCTACAATACCAGTGGGCCAGACGATAAATTCAGATTTACACGACTTATAGAGGTCTGTTTTTTTTCTTAATTGACGTTTAAAATGCATCGGTCACTGATTTTTTTTATTGAAAGTGTGAAATATCTTTTATAAAAATATGTATTGTACTTGTTGTTTCAGATTTTGCGACGTGAATTTGACCTAGAAGGAACCTCTACTAATCGACCTGTATTGCAATTGACAGCTGCGGTATCGCCATCTAAGGCAACTAGTGACGCCGCTTATGAAATTGACATTATTTCTCAGTAAGTAAACCAAGGGGAAACTATATAGCATATAGCATTTATGCCATTAAAACAACAATTTCAAAAATAACAGTTATTGAAACTACATTTCATGATTTTATGCTGTCAAAATAACATGAAGTAGTATCACCATATTTGCTGCAATACCAACACGTTCCTGACTATATTCCGTCTTTGCGTATTGCAGAGTTATCTGCTCTTGAGAGCAGGGATTGATTGTTACGTCATTTGTTTGTGAGAGTAACGTCATCAATTTTTGAGAAAACGACGTAATTTTCTCACACAAACCAATGACGTAACAACCAATACCTGCTCACAAGAGAAGATAACTCTGTAATACGCAAAGACGGAATAGCTAATATACCAATATGGATACATGATACAGCTGTGGGATCGCACAACGTTACACGATGTGCGGTGTGCGCACGATGTGTGCATGGTGTGTGAACGGTGTATGCACGATGTGCGAACGATAAAAAGCTGGACGATGATTGTTTGTGCACATCTGTGCGCACGATGGACGAACGTTGTGCGGTAACAATCGTGGTTGGTGTAAATTGAGGAATGCCTTAAAAATATATACGGTTTCGTGTTTAAACATATAAACTTGATTTTTACGTATGTTTCTATATTCTAGCTACATCTATAAGCTTATCGTTCTGTCTATACATTTTTATATTTATAAATTGTGTTTTCGGTGGTTTTTAAACAATCTTGATCGACACGTGTAAAACTACAACACAGTCCCGTATATTTACCTGGACCGTAGTTTTCCCCCGCCCGGGGCACTCACGTAACTCGTCGGGTAAAGCCGGGGTGTGAAAACCCATGTGAAGGGGAGCTATATGCAAACGAATACAAATAACAAATACTACTCATTACGGTAATACGGTATCGCATATCAGCTATATTTGTCAGTCACAGGCCAGGTAAAACTCCGGTCACTCATCAAATTGTTATTTACCTGTTCTGTTACCTTGGAGCCTAACCCAGTCTTGACAACCTAGCGGTTGCTGTAATACTGTGTAACACACATTGTAAAATTTTACATTATCTTGGTTATTGTGATGAGAAATTACAGATATATACACAGTGTACATTATTGCAAACGATCCTTCCGTATTTATGTCATTCCGTAATATTGATCTACAAATTGTACCAAATCGCACATTTGTGCGGAGAGAAGCGCACAACGGGGCGAACGATTGTTAAATCGCACAGGTGTGCGCACCATGTGTGGACGATGTGCGGACGATGTGTGAACGACGTATGCACGGTGTGCGCACGCTAAGTTTGGTGCGTTGTTTGGTCACACAACTGTATGTAAAATAAAGCATGCATACAGAAATGTACATCACGTGGACAAGATAAAATACGTTATATTGTTTTACAAGGATATCAGAAAAATGACGTCAGTCCACTGATGTCATCATAGGTCCGTATTCATGAAACCGTTTTTATGCTCAGTCTAAGATAACTTGCTCAAGCCTTATTTCTATCGAGTGATAAGTAAATAAAAAATCACATTCTGCCAATGATTTGGTAGACTTTTCGAGAAACGTACAGCCGAATCCCATGATCATTATATATACTTGACTTGTTGACCTTGTCACGAGATTTATGCTAGTTATAGGAAAGTTGGTTTGAGCACAGAATCCATGGTTGAGCATGAGAAAGTTTCATGCATATGTACCTCGTTCTCACCTAGAAGAATGACATGTTTATATATCAAGCAAAGATTGATTACTTGACTTATGACTCTGATATTAAAACCAGCAATGTTGATATTATTTTATAACAGGCATCTCGACTTTATCAATTTAATGTCGTACGATTTCCATGGCAGCTGGGACAATTATACAGGGCACAACAGCCCACTCTTTGCAAGGCGAAATGAATCAACATTTCAGCAATTACTTAATCAGGTAAACTCTATCAACATCTTATCATTTAAGCAAGTAATTTCTTGCAATAGTAGTTTGTATATATACCTAATCCAACAAGGTAACTACTGGAGCTTTATATAACTGAACCATGACCGGTATTCAAGAAATCTTTTTCGGCTAAAGCTCAGAATCCGTGCTCATCACAGCTTTCTTGGTCAATGAGAAGCACAAAAAAGAAATATTTCGACAATGCTTTTGAATGATTTTGGAGAGACTAAATGCCGAATATTTGTTTTCAATGTTTATATTTGGCTTTTTGCCGGTGATAAAGCACATTACAGTAAATTAGGCTTGAGCACAGAATCCATCATTGAGCATGAATGCGAGGACCATGTGGTAGATAAGCCTTTGGCTAAACATGTCATCCTTGTTAAATTAAGTTTAGTATTATGAACAAACTCGACGGTCAAGGTCCTTAATGACGTTACATATCACCAGCCATATAACTACTGGTGCCATGTACAGTATTACACAACAAGGTATTTTTGGAGCTATTTATCACTCAACCATGCAAAACTGGCGCCGTTTGTCAAACACCCATGTAACTACAGCCGCCATATATCAGTAAAATGTGTACATGTAACTACTCGTGCCTTCACTCAATCTTACAATTAGACTCTAGTATGTAATTGCTAGTGCTGTCTTACACTCATCCGTTTAACTTATTGCACACTTTGTTGCTTAACTAATGGCGTTATTTTTCAATGATCGGCATTACCGATTCAGATTAAAAGCCATTTATCACGCATGACTTCTGTATTACAATGTATTGCAATCAGTTAACTGAATACATGGTCAATCAACCAACTCCTTACTATTGACAATGCGCACATATGTAATAAAAAATCTGTTGATTCCAGGACGCTGCTGTGCAGTACTGGATATCTCGAGGTACTCCGCCTCACAAACTGGTAATGGGTCTGGCATTGTATGGTCGATCTTTTACTCTGTCCTCCCTCAATGATGTTGGTTTGGGTGCTGACACGACTGGAGGTGGACACGCAGCCGAATACACACGCGCCACGGGGTATATGGCATATTATGAGGTAAGGCAGTTTTACGTTCTTAATTTTGTTTCTGCTTGTTTTATTGTGTGCATGTGGTTATGTTTGTTTGTTTGTGTTTGTTCTTGTGTGTGTGTGTGTTTTTAAATATTTTGGGAAACACTTCCCAATAATTGCTTTGTTTCCTTTAAGGTATGTGATCGGATTAAAAACAAAGGATGGACAAGAGTATGGGACGACGAACACCAGGTCCCTTTCGCCTACAGCGGTAGCCAGTGGGTCGGGTATGACGACATTGAGAGTTTCGCCCAAAAGGTAAAATATTGGATTTTAACTATTAGATGATAATAGTCGTTTATATTTATCGCTGAGTAATGTTTATACGCAGGGATTGGTAATGACGAGATGATTAGCTACGACATCAATGATGATTTAATAATAAAAATGCTAATAATTCGAGGTTCTTAAATACCGCTTTAGCACGTAGGTCGTCACAGATTACTATCCGTGGTTATTGGGCCTTTGCATCCAGTCAATATCTTTCTCAACTCCCTGGGGATCATAAAGCCGGTGCTGCCATTTTGGCGCTCACAGTGAGCACTCATCATTTCTAGCACTTTCCAACCTCGTACTCATTTATAGCTAACTAGACTGGAACAAGCGGAGGAAAGTATCTTGTTCAAAGATACAACACAGTGCCTTTCCGTGCCGTGACTCGAACCCGCAACCATTCGGTCATTAGTCCGGCGTCCTACCGCTAGGCTACCATGCCGCCTAAATGAATGGTTACATCAAATACATTTAAATTGATTAGAAATAAATAATACTTATGTCTGTAACAGATAACTCGAAAATCTGATATTTCATTACTACCCTGTAGGTCTACAACGCATATCATTGATAACCTTTAGGTCTATAACACAAAACACTGATAACCTGTAGATGTACATATATCATTGATTATCTGTAGGTGTACGACACATATCATTGATTACCTGTAGGTGTACAATAAATACCATTGCTAACATTAAGGTCTATAACACATTATACTAAGTACCTGTAGGTGTACAACACATATCCATGATTATCTGTAGGTCTACAATAGATATCACTGATTACCTGTAGGTGTACAACACATATCATTGATTATCTGTAGGTCTACAACACATATCATTAATTACCTGTACGTGTACAACAATGCCATTGATTACCTGTAGGTGTACAACACATATCAATAAGTATATGTAGGTGTACAATATATATCATTGATTACCTGTAGGTGTACAATACATATCATTGATTACCTGAAGGTGTACAACACATATCAATGATTACCTGTAGGTGTTCAAAAGATATCATTGATTACCTGAAGGTGTACAACACATATCATTGATTACCTGTAGGTGAACAACACATATCATTGATAATCTGTAGGTGTACAACACATATCAATGATTACCTGAAAGTGTCCAGCACATATCATTGATAATCTGTAAGTGTACAACACATATCATTGATTATCTGTAGGTGTACAAAAGATATCATTGATTACCTGAAGGTGTACAACACATATCATTGATTACCTGTATGTGTACAACACATATCAATGAGTAACTGTAGGTGAACAATAGATATCATTGATTACCTGTATGTGTACAACACATACCAATGATTACCTGTAGGTTAACAACATATATAATTTATTACCTGAAAGTGTACAGCACATATCTTGATTACCTGAAAGTGTACAGCACATAACATGTATTATCTTTAGTTCTATTACAGTCAGTTAGAATCGATAATCTGTACTACTGACAAAAAACATCGCTGACAACCTATAGGTATAATACATGTATATCGCCGAAAACCTCTATGACTGCTTGGTGTATGTCATTGATAATCATTTTGCCTACACTAAATTCAACTGATAACATGTATGACTTCTAAAGGTTTATCACTGATAATACAAACAGAAATTAGGAAGTAAAGAAGCATATTTTAAAATCAAACTTGTCGATGCAGATTGCGAAATAAAACTATAAACATTCAACTGCATCATACGGCACTTTCGTTTTTTTAGGAACCTGTTTGTATTATAAATAATACATTGCGACGCGTAACATTTATATATCTAATACATGTATATAACTGAAATCATATATGTCTAATACATGTATATAACTGATATCCTTTATGTCTGATACATGTATATCACTGATATCCTATATGTCTAATACATGTATATCACTGATATCCTATATATCTGATACATGTATATAACTGATATCCTTTATGTCTGAAACATGTATATCACTGAAATCTTATATGTCTGATACATGTATATCACTGATATCCTTTATGTCTGAAACATGTATATCACTGATATCCTATATGACTGATACATGTATATAACTGATATCCTATATGTCTGACACATGTACATCACTGATATCCTATATGACTGATACATGTATATCACTGATATCCTATATGTCTGACACATGTATATCACAGATATCCTATATGTCTAATACATGTATATCAGTGATATCCTATATGACTGATACATGTATATCACTGATATCTTATATGTCTAATACATGTATATCACTGATATCCTTTATGTCTAATACATGTATATCACTGATATCCTTTATGTCTTATACATGTATATCACTGATATCATATATGTCTAATACATGTATATCACTGATATCCTATACGTCTAATATATGTATATCACTGATATCCTATATGTCTAATACATTCTAATACATGTATATCAGTGATATCCTATATGACTGATACATGTATATCACTGATATCTTATATGTCTAATACATGTATATCACTGATATCCTATATGTCTAATACATGTATATCACTGATATCCTATATGCCTCACACATGTATATCACTGATATCCTATAAGTCTAATACATGTATATCACTGATATCCTATATGTATAATACATGTATATCACTGATATCCTATATATCTAATACATGTATATCACTGATATCCTATATGCCTCACACATGTATATCACTGATATCCTATAAGTCTAATACATGTATATCACTGATATCCTATATATCTAATACATGTATATCAATGATATCATATATGTCTAATACATGTATATCACTGATATCCTTTATGTCTAATACATGTATATCACTGATATCCTATAAGTCTAATACATGTATATCACTGAAATCCTATATGTCTAATGCATGTATATCACTGATATCCTATATGTCTAATACATGTATATCACTGATATCATATATATCTAATACATGTATATCACTGATATCCTATATGTCTTATACATGTATATCACTGATATCCTATATATCTAATACATGTATATCAATGATATCATATATGTCTATTACATGTATATCACTGATTTCCTATATGTCTAATACATGTATATCAATGATATCCTATATGTCTAATAAATGTATATCACCGATATCATATTTGTCGAATATATGTATATCACTGATATCCGATATGTCTAATGCATGTATATCACTGAAATCCTATATGTCTAATACATGTATATAACTGATATCCTTTATGTCTGAAACATGTATATCACTGATATCCTATATGTCTAATACATGTATATCACTGATATCCTATATGCCTGATACATGTATATCACTGATATCCTATATGTCTTATACATGTATATCACTGATATCCTTTATGTCTTATACATGTATATCACTTATAACCTATATGTCTAATACATGTAAATCACTGATATCCTATATGTCTACTTCATGTATATCACTGATCTCCTATATATCTAATACATGTATATCACTGATATCCTGTAATGTCTAAAACATGTATATCACTGATAACATATATGCTTTATGCATTTGTATCACTGATAACCTATATGCTTTATACATTTGTATTAATGAAAACCTGCTTACTGCAAGTATACCACCTGTGTGTACAAAACATGCCTTTTCACTGATGACCTATTTGAGTAACGTATGTATATCGTTGACTTCACGTTTACAGGCGCATTACATAAGAACACATGGACTAGGAGGTTCCATGGTGTGGGCATTGGATTTAGACGACTTTAACAATGTCTGTGGACTTGGAGTCAATCCAATGATGTCTGTATTGAAGGCAGTGCTGGATTTGCCGACCACAGAACCTATCAAACGCCCGACATCAACACCTTTAAATGTGAGGCCAGCTACAGGTACTTTGGTGTCTGATAAATAATTTTTGAATTGAATCGTTTATTCTTTATTCGAATGTATGACCATCTTACATTATGTTCCATAAAACCATTAAAGAATTAATGATGTAATGTTATATTCCTATGGCTGATTAGAATTTGTAGGAGAATACAATAATTCTATTGAAAATAATATTGTCTTGATTTGTGTTATACATATATATATAAATATCGATTACATGGATTTTAATGCATACAATAGGTTTCCCTGTCTAAATGCTGGCAAAAGCTTACAAAAAAGTCCTATTAATTTTGATCTGACTATTATCATAATACAGCTAGGGAAGGGATTGACCACTGATTAGGTAGCTTAGTTGGTCAAAAGGGCAGTACAATGATCGAAGGTTCGGGGTTCACTTCAGGGTTTGGCTCCAGTTTCAAAAATGTTCCTTAAGGCAATTCCTTAATTAAGAAATGTCCATAGGAAAGTATTTCTCAACTTTCGAAAATTCCCTTAACCTGTGATTTTTCTTGAAATGAAGTAAAGAGTGCCAATTGAAAAATATGTAAATCAAAGAATTTTTTCTGCGTTTAGTAACTTTTATCAAACTTGGCCTTGGACCGATGGTTTTATAAAAATCCAAAGGCATTGTTGTGGATTTAAAAAAAATCGTCATAACTATGAGTGTTATTGTAATAGCTCTGCAAGGCTATAGATTATCAAAGCTATTACCATATGGTTGATAGGTTTTTAATTCATAGTAACAGGTTTTAAAAAATCTACAGGGATTGTCAAGGTATTCAATTTATTTTGGTCGAAAGCCACATCTTCTTGTATGACCTTTCAGGCTGGATTACGTAAAATTGCGTCTCCGATTAAAAACATTTTTGTTCTTGTCACAAGGAATTCTAAACTCCTGTTTTTGTTAACAGATGATGTGACTCCTACAACACCACAGCCAAAGCTGACCACTACAACTGCTTATGTTAGAACAACGAGTGGTACAAGTTTGCAGACCACGTCAAACTCTAAAACTACATGTGGTAAATAATCAGAATTATAAGACCTACTTTCAAGGTCACAGGCGTCAAATATGTCAAACACTCCAAACGACTTGAAGAACTGAAAGCTATGGAATCTTCATACTTAGCTGGTGGCTTCCTGGGATAAAGCCCAACAAAGTTTGAGATTTAAAATGACCCTGACCTACTTTCAAGGTAACAGGGTTCAAATATATCAAAAACATCAAACGACATCTTCGAAATAATCAAAAGATAAGAATCAAAATATTTGGCTGGTGGCTTCTTGGGATATAGCCCAACAAAGTTTGGGAATGCTAATGACTTTGATCTACTTTCAAGGTCAAAGCGTTCACATATGTCAAACTCTTCAAATGACTTCTTCGGAAGAACTGAAAGTTACAGAATCTTCATATTTGGCTGGCGGCTTTATGGAATAGAGTCCGACAAAGTTTGAGAATGAAAATGACCTTGACCTACTTTCAAGTTCAAAGAGGTAAAATGTGTCAAACACTTCAAACGACTTCTTTTGAAGAACTGAAAGTTATAGAATCTTCATATTTGGCTGGTTGATTCCTGGGACAGAGCCCGAAAAAGTTTGCGATAAAAAAACACCTTGACCTACTTTCAAGGTCACAAGGGTCAAATATATCAAACACTTCAAACGACTTCTTCTGAAGAAACGGAAGCTATGGTATGTAAACAAAAGCATTTATTTTAAGCGACAAAACCTATTTACAGCCCTATGGTAAACTTTTTTAACAGTAACATGTAAATGTGTATGTTTTTGACAATAATCTGCAAATACTAGGTTTTGAGGGTAACCTGTTAATGTGTCTTTGACAGTTACCTGTTAATGTGTCTTTGACAGTAAACTGTTCATTCAAATTTTTGACAGTTACCTGCTTATATACGTTTTTGACGGTACCCTGGTATTACATGTGTTTTTGATAACCTGTAATATTACGTTTTTTGACGGTAACCTGTTATTACATGTTTTTTGACGGTAACCTGTTATTACATGTTTTTTTAAGGTAACCTGTTATAATATATTTTTTTGAAGGTAACTTGTTATAATATATGTTTTAATGGTAACCTGTTATTACATGTTTTTTTACGGTAGCCTGTTATTACATGTTTTTTGACGGTAACATGTTATATAACAGGGTTTTTGACGATAACCTGTTATTACATGTTTTTGTGTTCAGACAAATGGATTTTTATTTCGCCAACATCAATGTTTTTCTAAAGTTTTGTTTTCATATACATGTATAAAAGGAACGAATTAACTTCAATATTGAATAATTTCTTTGTTTGCACTATGGGTATAAGTCCTTTGCTTATTTTTTTATTTAGCTAATACGTATCCAACGAACGTTTGATTGTTAGGAGCCAGAGTCCATATTGGATCATACTGTCGTTATTGCTTATTAGACCTATATGTATATAAGGTATATAATAACATGTATCTTTATGTGTGTTTATAAAACAGAACCAGTCAGAAATAGTAAACTTTAGTGGAGAAAAGTGAAACAAAGTCGACTGCAACATTTATGTCTATGTTACCAAAGTTCCTTTGAATAGATAAAAAAAATTTTTGTGTGTCTTTATACGTAACATGTATTGAAGATTAACTAACTTAAGCAAGATAAACTTATTAACCAACCAACAGGAGTTTGGATACCTTTTTTCCCACAAAGTTCAAATATTACATCTAGAACCGTTTGTTTTTCTTCGGAATACATTATTCGTAAAATTCTTGATACAATTTCCATGAACTACATAAATTACCTCACAATTGAATAGGACGTGAATTACATTGTTATTGGATGTCATAATAAGAAACTTGACAAATGAAATAACCCCAGGGTGTTATCCGCTGGTGGGTAACTTTAAATGTTTACCAACTCCTAGCAGGCTGACTAATGAGTCGGGAGTGGGGGAATCTATAGTGCTTGCTGGATAAAAGAAAATAACAGTGTTGGCGCACTACTTCCTTAAGCTCCAGAGACATGTATATATGCAGTGATGCTTTTTTATTGATTTATATACTTGCATGATGGTTTGTGATCTATTATATATAATTATCATTCGTATACAGTTCTTTAATGTTACGGAGTCGTAAATAAAAAGTTGCAGTTATATTCTATTAAATGTTAAATAAGTTTGCTGTGATAACATCATCTTTGAATCTGAATTGGTGTATATAAATTGACTACAATGACGTTCTATTAGTCTATCATGATGCATTATTTTCCACGCGATTCTTTATGTATCTACTTTGTTTTTACCAAGACATTTTCTAGACCTTATTGTTCGTCCTATTTTGAAGAAATTCTACTTACAGTAAGATATTCATCAAACACTTCTGTTTGTGATATATTCCATTTTTTTCCCTACAATTATACCCAGTTTGGTCAGTGCAATTGCTAGACAGTAAATTGTAACACCGTGTCTAGGGGAATTATGTCAAAAGTAAAAGTATCAGTGTAACTAATAGAAACACTGAATAAGTATTCGGCCGTGTGCAAAATTTGATCAAAGTCAGGAAACTTTATTGAACAAAATACATCACATATAAACCAATCAGAGAAAAAATATATAACGTGAAAGACATAGCACGTCAAAGTACTGTAGTTTGTTCCCCACACGTGTAGCCCACTTGATATGTTGTATTCATTTGTGTATGTTCATTACAGTTCCATCACAGTGTAAACACGGAGAGTTAATACCTGACCAATGTGATGACCAATGCTTCTATAGCTGTAGCCATGGTGTTGCATTCTGGTATTGCTGTGCAGCAGGAACATTATGGGACAACTATATAAAGAACTGCAACTTTCCGGAGCTCATACAGAATGACCCAAACTGTCGTAAGCAAACTTTAGATGTCGTTAAAGTGTACTTTGACATGCATTGTATACTCATCAATGGATCAATCCCAATATAAATAAATGTACAAACGGAGAATGTCAAATGAAAAGCATGATGTAGCATTTTTTCCATCTAAGTTTTCATAAATTTGTTTCTGGCCTCATATTTTATTTTCGAAATCAAGTGTAATATGAGATAAAGCAGTGTTCCCAGATATCCCAGATATCCGATATCATTTCGTATATGATCAAATATATATTTACAAAATAAAAAACTTTGGGGATAGAACGTCATTTTGAGTGTCAAAATAGAACATAAAATATAGTTTGAACTCGAGACCGTTATATACCGCATGTCTTCATTATTTTCCAGGTCCTAAAATTTGTCCACCTACCCAGTTCTTTCCCGACCCCTGTGTCCCCAAGTGTTACTACCAGTGCTCCTCCGCCGGGCTAGACGTCAGATACTGTTGTTTTAAAGGAACGATTTGGGATAATTCCATCAGAAATTGTATATTTACGTCAGCGATGGATCGAGTTGAATTTTTAAACGTTCCGCAACAGCCCACACCTCCTGAGAGGGATAGTGATTTTATTACACATCAAATCGAATTCAAAATTTGTGGTTAGTTTTTATTTTTATCTATGTCTTTAACTACAATTATGAAACAATATTTTCTAATTAACTAATTCCTTTGTTTACCCGAATGAAAACCAAAACAACGTCATGTTGTTGGAAGAAACCGCATCATCTAAAGAAAACTGCGCTTGTTTTTGTCACGTATTATTGAATTGAATGTTATGCTAACGAAATTCTATTTGTAAGATTCGTAAATATATTTTACAGATACGATTTATTCGTGCTATTATTGCAGGCGTACCAGGCTCTTTTTCACAACCAAAACCGACATTGCCAGCACAGACAAAAGGTGACAGACTCACAACGATTAAAACCTTAAAACTAAACTTAACTTCACTTCCAGCAAAACACTCGGATCCGACTAGGAAACCAATACAGAATACATACCTGCCTGAAAGTGAAACAAAACCACCATATTCTTCTATCAAACCCATACAGGAAACTGACAAATCTTCTTCAAAAACAAAATACACCTGACAACTAACAAAACAAACTGGTCCAAAAATGACATCAATCAAATATGACCCGACAACAAACCAAAGTACACCAATAAAGTCAGAAAAATCACAAAATGACCCAGTAATTTCACCAACCAAACAAACTGACAAAACAACGGTACAAAGGAAACGCACTTACCTAACAAGGCAACACACCAAACAAACTAACCCAACAGAGTAACCGCTAAAACAAACTGATTCCACAAGATCACCGACAAAACAATTTGACAATACACAGTCATCAGAAAAACAAGCAGATCTAACAAAACAAACCTTGCAAACAAGACCACCGACGAAGTAAACATTCAATACAAAGTCACCAGCAAAATAAACTGACCAATCAAATTTACCAACAAAAACAATTAGACTCCAAAGCGACACCGCCCAACCAACTAATTCGACAAAGTCACCGACAAAGGCAACTGACTCAACACCGCAACAAACAAAACAAACTGTCAAAATCATACAATCGACAAAGCAACCTTATCGAACAAATTCACCAACGAAACAAACTTATGCATCAATGTCACCGACAAAGCGAACTGATAAGACAAGGTTTTGACAGAACAAACTTATCCAACAAGGTCTCCTTCAAAACGAACTGACCAACCAAGTCCAAAGACAAAACACCCGACAAAGTCACCAAAAAACAACCTTACACAACGACGTGGACGACAAAACAAACTGTGCAAACAGGGTATCCGACAATAAAAAACTGGGCAAACAGGGTATCCAATAATAGAAACTTGGCAAACAGGGTATCCAACAATAGAAACTTGGCAAACAGGGTATCCGACAATAAGAACTGGGCAAACAGGGTATCAAACAATAGAAACTGGGCAAACAGGGTATCCGACAATAAAAACTTGGCAAACAGGGTATCCAACAATAAAAACTGGGCAAACAGGGTATCAAACAATAGAAACTGGGCAAACAGGGTATCCGACAATAAAAACTGGGCAAACAGCGTATCCATCAATAGAAACTTGGTAAACAGGTTATCCAACATGACAAGACAACCA